GGACTGGGTGGGATGTGGAAGGGGCTGGAGAATGGAAAGAAGGCACCGGTGGGTGCGTGTCAGTGTGCGCCCCGGGGTATGTGTGTCTGTTGCTCGGTATCTGCAACTGCTTGGTGGCTGTGTGGACGTGCGTCCGCGCCCGTGTGTCCGTGTGTGTCAGAAGTGTCCGTGCGCGTTTGAGCGTCTGCGTGTCCTGTATGTGCACGTGAGCATGTCCCTGGAGTATGTTTGTGTGCGTCGCCGTGTGACTCTGCCATGTGTGTACAGGCAGGCCCCGGGGCTTCGCGCGCAGCCCAGCACTTCGGTTCCACGGGGCTGCAGGTTACAGCGTCCCGGATAACTGAGGTGGTGGCCCTTCCTGCGTCCCAGGTTTCAAGGACGCTAGGACTCGCCGCGGCCCTGTAGCCTCGAGCTGGGGAGGGGGTAAGGCGGGAGAGGGGCCCGGGCCCGGGCCCGGAATGGTGCAGCGGTCTCCGGAGGGAGGGGAGGGGACACCCGCGTCCCCCTGGAAGGGCTGGGACGAGGATGCGGGGCCAGCGCACCCGTGCCAGTGTGTTCGCCCTCCCCAGGCCGCCAGGATGGACGTGTTCATGAAGGGCCTGTCCATGGCCAAGGAGGGCGTCGTGGCCGCCGCGGAGAAAACCAAGCAGGGGGTCACGGAGGCCGCGGAGAAGACCAAGGAGGGTGTCCTCTACGTCGGTGGGCGAGGGGCGGGGCTTCTGGGGCTACGGAATTTGGATGTCCTGGGAGAGAGCGGAGCTGGGGTCCTTAAAGGGTGGGAGTGAGGGTGGTCTGGGCGGGAGAATATGAGTCAGCAGATGGGGCGGGGTCAGCAGGGGTCACTGAGGACATAGCCGATGGAAGGCTAGGTCACCGAAGAGACTGAAGGGAGGGCGGATGAGCGAAGTGTTGGTGAGGATGAGGTTTAGCTGAAAGGCCAGGGACCAATGCGGAGATCAAAGCAGACAGCCTTTTTTTCCTTATTCTTCCCGTTATTAATAGTTACCTAGTGCTGAGCCCTCACTCTCTGCCAAGTACTGTGCGAAATACATCCGTAAAGTCCATCACCTCATTGAATGCTCCCTGCTCATCCACAACCGGGGGAAACTGGGGTCCCCCCAGGTTTCACTACCTTGCTCAAGGTCACACAGCTGATAAAACCTGAAGCTGGAGTTTGAGCCAAGCTTTCCGGACTCCAAAGTCCCACCCTTCTCCTTGCCCTCCTCCCTCCTGTGTTGCTGGGGCTCCCTTCCAGACTTCCTCTCCATCTCCTTCCACCTCAGAATCTCTCTCTGGGTCTCCCTGCCTCCCAGTGTTTCCACCATCAGCATCTCTCCTCCGGGTTCCCTCTGCTCGCAGCTGCGGGATGTCATCAGGAGAAAGGCCAAGTGGTTAAAATGTCTCACCCTAAGTAGGAAAGGAGAGGGAGCATGCAGGGCCATTTGCTTGAAGGGAGGCAGGAAACTGACATTTCTGACTTTGGATGCAGGCACAGGGCTTACTTTTGTGCAGTAGGTAGAATTATCCAATTATCCCCTTTGCTGGCTGTAGAGGGCTGGTTAACTTGCCCACGGTTGTGTCAGATTTGGGATTGTGGCAATTTGAAAAGTCCTTATTGACCACCTACTATGTGCTGGTAGGTGCCGGCTCTCCTGATAGCGATGCCAAGCACCCCAATGGTGGGATTTGACATCCAGTGGCTGGGCTGGGAGACCACTTTGGGAGGGTAATCAAAGAGGATGGCATTTGAGCTGAGCCTGAAGACTAAGGAGGGCAGGGGTAGGGGTGCAGAAAGGCAGATGCAAAGGCCCTGGAATGGGCTCAAGGACACTGGGTTAGAGAGCAGAGGGCAGAAAGCAGTGATACCAGATGAGATCAGAAAGGTGGGCAAGAGCCAGTTCATGAGCGACCCCTGCAGGCCAGGGCAAAGCATAATTGCCAGGAGAGATCATAAGCCAGGGCTGATATAATCTGACTTCAGTATAGAAAGGTCTCTCAGGCCGCTGGGGACAGAAGAGACAGCAGGGAGGCTGGTGGGGAGGTAGCATACCTACCAGATGAGGGTGGCTGGAGCTAGGGCAGAGGTGATAGAGATGGGGAGAAGGCTTGAAGCCCGACCTGCTGGACCCCAGCTTTGGCCTCCCTCCTGCCTTCTCCCTGAGCCCTTTCACTCCAGTAGACCCCTGGCACCCGTGACACTGCCTCCCTACCAACAGACTTGGCCCCTCCCCTTTCCCTCCTCCCCCTGACCAGGAACTCCTGGTGGCCCCCACTCCCTACAAGACAAAGCCTCAGCTCCCTGAAGCCTAGCATTCAATGCCCTTCATGGCCCTGCCTGTTTCCATCGCTCCGAGCACACAGACCAGGTCCATGTGCTCCGTGCAGGCCCTGAAAGCACACCTCCCTGTGACTTGCCTGCATTCTTCCCTGTGCCTGGCACACCCTCCTCGGTCTCCTTTCTGCGTCTCCACCTGCTCCCCATTCGACAAGGCCTAGGCAGTGCCCCTCCCCCATCATGTGCCTCCTGGAGTCCTGGAGGCTGGAGTTTCTCTCCCCAGTACTTGAGTCCAGGGCACCACATCTGCTTTCTTACCCCCATCTGACACTGAGCCATTGACCTGGGGCCTGACACAGAGCAGGTGCCAACAAGTGCTTGTGGGAGGAATGAAAGAGTGTGCATGCAGCCCCCTGCCCCATAGTTTCTGGGTCCGGCTGGCCTTGGCCCTGAGAATCCTGTCTTCCTGCGCCAGTCTCTCCTCCTCTCGCCGGCGTCAGCTGGCCCAGACACCCGGTTCTGGCTCTATCAGCTGTTGTCTGGGTTGCCAAATCCTCGGGATGGAAGACTCCTCACTCCCCTGAGGGCTCCCACACCCACCTTGGGTCAGGCTTTCTTGCCTTTCCAGTTGCTGTCCTGGGAAGGCCGGGCCAATGCCGCGGGTGTCAGTCACAATCTTCATGTTACCCTTAGACCCATCCTGCATCATTCCAACTTTGGCCAGAAGGAGGAATTTGCACCCTAGTTAGAAGAGAGTCTTTAGAAGAAATGCAGTTGGGGCAGGGGGTGGGGGGATGGGAAGTGCGTGTCCATAGGCAGTATGTGGGCAGTTGGGCATCAGGGGCTTCTTTCCAAATTCAAAGCCTTTTGCCCGCCTCCACTGCCTCCACCCTACCCCCCTCCCCCATCTTGCTCCCATCCTGGGCAGAGGATTAAATGACCCTGCACAGATAGAGCGCGTTCCCAGTGCTGGTGCTCAGGCAACATCCACCAGAGGGCATGGGTATCACCTCGGGTGGGTGGGGCAGGGGGACGACAGACAGTGGGGGAGAACTGGAAGTCATGAGGAAGTAGGCATGGGGGGCCCTTGTTGGACTTGGGGGCCCAGGGAGGCAGTGATGGGGCCACTGCTGACTGGGTCCCTCTGCCCGCTCTGTAACCACTGTGCTTGCTGCAGTCTGTTCCCTTGGCTCAGAGTCCTTAAGTGTGCTCCTCTTTGTCCCTGCAGGAAGCAAGACCAGAGAGGGGGTGGTACAAGGAGTGGCCTCAGGTACCAGCCCAGCCCTGTCGAGCCCTGTTCCTTCACCCTGGCCTGGGATCTGGCTGGGATGCAGGTGGTGGAAGACGGCACCTCTAAGGCTTCCTGCGGGGGTGCTCCATGGGGAGGGCAGGCCCTGGGATGCTACGGGGCAGGGGGGCATCTAAGCCTGCTTCCTCCTTGCCCCCAACCCCCTTCCCAACCCTCTCCCTGATGCAGTGGCTGAGAAAACCAAGGAGCAGGCATCACATCTGGGAGGAGCCGTGTTCTCCGGGGCTGGGAACATTGCAGCAGCCACAGGCCTGGTGAAGAAGGAAGAATTCCCCACTGATCTGAAGGTGAGCTAGACTTCCGCCACACAACACACACACACACACACACACACACTAC